CACATAAAACCAATCAATTAGATTGTGAGGTAACATGGTTGATTTGTTGAATATTACTTTTAGATGGCTAAATGTTTACATAAACTAACATTAAAATGGTTACTTATTTATAGGCGTGCAGGTGAATATGACTACGAGGTGAGACATACTTCACTCAATGGAGAAAAATATATTGTCAACCTTTACAAGAAAGAATGCTCACATAGACTATGGATGTTGACTGGACTTCCTTGCTGTCATGCAATGTCTTGCATGAAAGATAAACATTTGGAGATTGATGACTTTGTACCTGACTGTTATAAGAAGGAACAATATGTTGCTTGCTATGCACGTGTGATATATCCACTTAATGATGAAGCCTTGTGGGAATAGACTAGTGTTGTTGATCTTCAGCCACCACCAATAAAGAGGCAGCTTGGAAGGCCAAAGAAAAAAAGGAATAGGGAAGTTGGAGAGATGGTGAGGGATGTGACACACATGAAGAGGGAAAGACATGGTATAAAATGTAGGACACTTATAAACTACCACAACCATAAGAACCAACAAGTCAGCCATCATCATAAGCTAATTCAAGTCAGGTACAAGATGCAACAAGTCGGCAATCATCACAAGCTATTACAAGTCGACCACCACCACCACTTGTTGCAATAAGTCAGCCACCATCACAAGATGTTACAAGTCAACCAACACCACTTGTTGTTACAAGTCAACTACCATCATCTATTGTTATAAGTCAGCCACCACCACAAGCTGTTACAAGTCAACCACTACCACCTAGTATTACAAGTCAGCCACCACCCAAAACTAAAAAAAAAACTTCATAAGGGTGGCAAGCCTGTTTCAAGCCAACCATGATCATTATTATTATGTCTACTAAGATTTTGTAATGCCATTTAGTGGTCTGACTCTTTTGTATTTGTTAATGCACATTTGGAATTGAACCTGATATATAATGCCTTATAATGACCTTTTGATTTTTGAACTTGTTATGTAATGTCTTATAATGGTCTTTTGTTATTGAACATGATATGTATCAAACTTTGAATCTGTTAATGAATGTTGGAATGACTTATGATGCCAAGTTATATTATAGTTTGTTTCCACAAATATTGGTCATTGGGCTGCATTTTTTACAGGTTGGATATTGAGACATTATTAAATGAAAATGTGAAAACATAACACATACATTATTCATTGAAACAACATAGCAATATATTATTCATTAAACAAACTCATCAATTTGTTACAGACACAAGGTTCAACCCTAGAACTACCAACATAACAACATGACTTTGAACTATCCTAAAACTAATTGAGACACAAGGTACAATCTTAAGCTTACAATCCCAACAACAATGGACATTTTGAGCCACCCTCTAGTATAGATAACTTCATTCTTTAATTTGTTAATTTTTTCGTTTGTCTTTCAAGCTTCAAATCCCTTTCATCAACAAACTCATCACCTAACCACTTGAATAAATTAAAACCCTTTTCAATGTGGTTTCTATAATTTCTACAACCCCAAAATTTTCTCCCTTTGTTGACAATGTTCATATCATTCACTGTTCTAAGAACACTTTCATCTTGGCAAAAGCACTCGATTCTTGTTTCTACAAATTAAAGATCCAGATGTACCATAACTATGGTTGTTTGAAGTTGAGGCATTGCTTGCACTCTTTGACATTGAACCCTAATTCCCAAATTGGAAAAGAAAATGGAAGATGGTAGAAGGAAGATGGAAGAAAGGAATTTAACCCTGATTTGAAGATGAAGATGGAAGAGGTTGAAAATATGGAAGACGACTGAAGAATAGTGGAAGAAGAATGAAGCTGCAACCAAACAGAACCCTATGTAACGTAACATATACATATGCTGATGTGGAATTCTAAGTTGGATTACTTGGCATGCCACCTCAGACAAACTAATATTTTTTTGACACAAACTAATGGAATGAACCAAACTGTTTAATAAAACTTAAATTAAAGGATCATTATGTAACGTTTTTTAGTTCAGGGACCAAAGCAAAAATTCGCTCAAAGTTAAGGGATCCAGTGACTAATTATACCTTTATAATATCTTATCTATATTACAAAGATGAAAGAAAAATATCTGCAAGTCTTTTTCATTTTTCACGTTTTGCAACACACCAATTAATGATTTAATACAAAATTTTAAAATTAACACAAACATATAAACAAAAATAATTTTAATAACCAAAATAAATTAACTTAAACAATTTAAAAATATATAAATATTTTTTATGATTAATTTGATAAAAAGAAAAAAAAATAACGGATAAAAAATGAACAAAAATTGGCTTAGAAAATTCTCGAAAAAATAAACCGAGTGTACTAAAATGATCACTGCGAAATTAACTTCTCAGAAATATACATGTTTCGATCAAATTTTAAAATAAAATCGACTAATTAAAAGGCTTGGCGGACAAAAATGTAACCGGAAAAAATAGTCGAAAAAATAAAACGAGCACATCATGTTGAATTACGCGAACCGTAGATTAAGAATACTGATGTCTGCAAGTTTGATTTTGAAATATTTCACCCGCGAATTCGACGTACAATTAAGAAACGATTCGACATGTATGTCTGTAGATCCTATTGATTATTCTAGTTGATATTTTAAGCATTACAAAGAATAAAAGTGCATGTTGTAATAAGTATAAAAAAATGCAGATGTCTTGAAAATGAGTCGAATTACTGATTGAAAAATTATGAACAAACAATTAGATACAAATGAATTGCTCTTGGACCATTTACTTATGATTCTCAATTACTATTAAAACTTTTACAAAAATTCAAATGACGACAATACTCTTGACTGTCATCCTCTGAACCTCTAAAGCATGATGAAACAGAATGAACAATGCACTAAGATTGAGAAATCAAGTATTTTGACTTCTGAATCAACAAATGGCTAAATGAATGTTATCAAGACCAGATAAATTTGTAAAACTCATGACTTTTCGTCTGAACCCATGATGAATGTTTTTTTATTGAAAGCAAACATGATAAAATGAACGGTTTGCAATATGCGGATGCAAATGAAAAAATTCAAGTTAAAATTTAGGGTATAACAATAATAATCAAATTTTAAAAAATTATTAGTTAGCTTTCATCACATCATAAAACAATAATAAAGAAGTTAAAATTAAACATAAAATATATATACCTCTTGATAGAATTGTTACTCCCTTTAGTCTTAAATATAAGTAACAAAAAAATTTCAATAGTCTTAAATATAATAATAGTCTTAAATATAATGAAAAGTTACCTATAACTATTAGGTTCAATGTCATTATTTCAAATATACTCCTACTTTTTTTTCTTCGTATTTTTATGTTTTTAACAATTTACAAAGCAAAAGGTAAGGGTAAAATTAGAAAGAGTGAAAGACTAAAATGTATTTAGATATTTTTCTTAAAGGGTGAATTTTTTTTAATTGCTTATATATGAGATCAAAGGTATTATTTATAAAAAAAAAGTCTGCTTTTTAAATTCATTAAATAATCAATGTATTTGAGTAAAATATATACCAAATACATTAGTTATTGAATAAATTAAAAAAATAAGTTTTTTTTTATAAATAAGATAGTATTTATTAAAAATTTTAATCAATTACAATGTATAATATTAATCTCATAAAAAATGTGCACCTTCTTAAAAAAATTCTTCACTAAAAACTAAAAAAACAATTATTAAGAAAATACATGTTATATTAATTTAAGGATATTTAAATATGAGAAAAGTAGTTAAAACTTTACTTCTTACACAATCAATTTTAGTTTTTTATTTAAAACTATTAAATTCAAGAACTTTTATTTGTATTGTATAAAATGAAAGAGTAATGATAAAGAGATACTCTCATTGTAGTCCACCATCCAACGTGTATTAGTGTCAAATAGACATAACAACAAAGGCCATATTCCACTTTTACTGAATTCGAATTTCAATTTAAAAAATAGAGATGAGACCACCCCAATTTCGCTTCACTGATAATTTGAAATATTTTTTATAATTTAAAATATTAATTGTTTAATTAATATATTAATATTTTAATTAATATTTTATTCTTTAAAATATTTAAATATTATATATTTAAAAAAAATAAATTATTTTATTTATTATTTTTAATGTATATTAATATTTGTTAAAGTTCGGAAAGAGTTTGAAAAAATAAATAGTTTCAAATTAAAAAAAAAAAAGTTTCTAATGTGGAGATGGCCGAGAATACCGAACTGTTTAAACCCGATTTCAAATTTAATTATTCTACTTTGTTTAAATGATCATTCATTTGATTATTATTCTATACATTACTTCTAATTTTACTTTAATATGATTGATTTAATAAAAATATAATGTCTATAACTACATTATTACATTCCTAAGATATACATATAAGTTAGGGCATAAGACACCTTGACAATTTTTCGGATTTCATATGCGATAGGCATAACTATTATGAGAAGAAAACTACAGGAAATCAGTTGTTTATCATTTATTTCTTCCATCCCAAACTAACATTATTTTAGTTCAAAGTTAGTTTTGAATAAACTACCATGCACTTCACTGTACCCTTTACACAAAAAATGCAAAGTACACTCACTATCTAGATAACTTTTTAAAAAAGCAAGACCCAATAAGAATAAAATTTGAAAACTCAAGATCACAAAAATCCAAAATTTACTGAATAAATATGCAATATTTCAATTTTAATCTGTTGATTCTTTTTCATTCCGTGGATTTCAATCCTTTAACCTAAGCAGAATAGCAAAAGAAAAGAACCAAAATCACTCAGCGAGTTCAGTGTCTAATTTGCAATCGCAAGTTGACCTCCGAATTATTGCACAGGGGAAAAAAGCCCGTTCCGCCAAAGTTATAAAAATAAGGGCTCACACAACATGCAGGAATACCAATCCAAGCAAAATTACAAACGTTTTATTTAAGTATTGTTCTGAAGCTTAAATTGACAGTTAATTATGAATGCTAATGATGTTCACTAACAACCCCATCTTCTTGACCTTTCCTGGCAGCAGCTCTTAGTTTGCGTTGCTCCTCCTTGTAAATTCGGTTTCTTCTTTGGAACTGGAATATGAAATAAAATCAACATCAGTAATTTATATGGCAATTAAACAAACAGACACAATAATTTGATAAATATGAAATTACACTGGGTAATATATATTGAACAGTGATTTTTTTCTCTCACACATAAGTAACAATAGAGAATACCCAACCGCCCCCTTCTACACTCAATCGCCCTCTTCTCAAGCCTTCTAATCTTGGTCAACTCTCCTTAATCTAAATCCTGAACGGACACCCAACTCTCACAAGAACCACTGCTCAGTGGTAAACACAGGTCATCATATAATAGACAAGACAAAAAGTCATACTCTAACTCAACTACTCATTAAAATTTGTTTTACCCGCCTTTCCACGATGGTGCATCAAAAAGAGCTAGAGCTATAATATAGTTCTCTAATGAGCGTGAAACAAGGCTTGATACATACATTAATTTTATCCACAAAGGTTAAATTTGTTTTAGCTAAGAAGCTACCATCCGCCAAAAGCTAATCCACAGGTGTTATGTATTTTTGTTAGCAAAGTAAACTTCCAGGATAAATAGTTATAGGAAGGATTTCAAGATAATCTAGAATTCTTTATGCATCAGAGTTAAATAATTATGTATGTTTTAGTCTCCCAGACAAGCAAGTGCCTCTCACTCCCTTATTTGAGTCCTATAAAGGATGTCTGCATTGCTCTTAAAGTGAAAGTAAATTCTTCATTTTTTTTCAAAAAGAAGCAGTTTAAGAGCATGATATAAAATTATCTACAAGTTGCTCCCAGAGCAATATTAGTTGATAATAACTTGACTAGAGAAGGGAAAGAAGGAATTGCCAAGAATGGACTTAAAGCATCTGAATAAAAGATTGGCATACAAAATGATAAGCTTGACAGAATCAGGTAAAGGACTTATAACAAGATAAAAGTAACAAGAAAAAACCAACTTCCATATATCACTCTTGTCAATTTCCCAAACTAATATTTGTCAACTATAGTCATTAAATTTATGTTGTGTGGTTTGATTGAAATGAATGATTGGAGTATCTATATCCTAAAAGCTCACTTTAGGGACTATTTGGTTCAATCGAGGGGAGGGGAGAGATTCTTATCAAAGGGAGGGGAGGGGAGGGGAAGGGAGGGGAGAGATTTTAATTACATATATGTTTGGTTCAAAATATGAAAGAGGAGGGGAGGGGAGACATTTTATTTACAAATATGTTTGGTTCACAAGGGGAAGGAAGGTAATTTAAAACTAATTTACTTTTTTATCCTTCTACTTTTATCATAAGACTTGTGATATTTACTATTTATTATTCAAATACAAATTTATTGACGAAATATAAATATTCAATCAGAGATTATTATGAAATACTTTATAAAAACGCAATGATTATAATATATAATTGGGTAAATTACAGATTTGGTCCCCTTATTATTATAAACAAAAACATTACGATAATTAAAATTAACATAAAAATATGAAAAATAAATAAAATATTTAAACAGATATAATGATAGTAAGATGAAGATATAAAAATACAACAAATATAAAAAGAAAGATTAAATTTGTTTAAAATAAAACTTTTAACATTGTTATAAGTTAAATTTATATTTAAATAAATAATAAGGATAAATATGTAAATATAATTATAATTAAAATCAAACATCTTCCCTCCCCTCCAAATCCCTTCAAATCGGGGGAAGCAAAAAGTGGCTCAGGAGGGATTTTGGTCCCCTCCATCTACCTCTCATCCCCCTCTTAAAATTTGAACCAAACACATAAATTATTAAATATTCCCTCCCCTCCTCTCCCCTCCATTTACCCCCAACCAAACAGACCCTAAAGCGTTACCTCAACTGACAAATTTATCCAAACAAGAGGAATAATAAGTAAATCAAATGAATGTGTACTACTTATATTTCAATAGATGTTCGGATGCACCAGAATAGAGTAGCTATTTGGAGTCCAATAATCTATATGTAAGTTTCTAGCCTCATAGTTAAACAGCATTATATGAGAACAACATAAAATGTCTGAAATTAATCATCATATTGTTGTCAACCAGTCACATCCTTAAAACTTTGTCACGACTATAAGTTATTGGAGAATCATACAAGATCTATAAATTATTTTAAGCCGTTTAGGTGTGCCAAATATGAAACAAGTAAAAACTGATGCTCATAGACTATAAAATGAAATAGAAATAAAGCATGTTATCAAAGCAAGAGAAGACATGACTCTAGAAGCTTAAAATATCTATTGTTAAATCAAACATTTAAGGTCTAGCTGTAATTCAATGTTCCCTGAAATTCATAGTCTAATTCTGTTGAGTACTGAATTGTGCTCTCTTGCCAAATCAAGGTTGCTGTAGATAGGAATGAAAAGAAGCCAGTAAGAATCGAAAAAGTCCTGTTACAGGAATGTTAATTCTGTTGGCGGTGTAACTTGGTTTGAAAGTTAGTTGGTTAACTCGGATTGTTTTTATAGAATAAGCATTATAAATTGACCACGATGTGTTTATTTTTCTGTATCTTTGAACATGATTCCATTAGATAATTTGCTCTCCCTTCCAAGCTCTCAAGCTTGCCTGTTCTTATTCCCACCTTATCCTCTGTTTACTAACACGTTCAAAAAAATCAGCACAAACCCTGCACTGTTTTCAGTAGTTGAGTGATAGACTAAAACAAAGCGTAGGTTAAAGTGTAACTGTTAAACTATGATTGTTACAGGGATTAGACACAATTTGTTAAAGTCGTCAAACATACACACCTTCATTATGTGTTTGTTTCAATAGAAAATACGAGGGGCAATGTTGAGAGGGGAGAAATGAGATGCATATAAATTTTCTCCCACCGTACGATGGAGAAAAAACAAATGAAGAAAAAGAATTAGAAACGAGACTCAAATGATTTTTACTCTTTTCAAGTGGAGTGAGATTCACTCTTTTAATTATACCCAGGTAGTTATTGTACTTCCCATGTCTCTGATATGGGCTCCACTAGAATTTTTCTCATCTTATGAAGGTAAAGGGAACTTCACATCAATTATGCATATCTTCCTTTCTTCTTTTTTTCACTTTTCCAAGAGAAGAAACAAAAAGATGCTAATGTAAGGAGGACTGATATAGTCTCAAACATGTCGGTAAGAGTGTTGTCAATTGCAGATAGTGGAAAATAGTGGATTGTTAAAATTCCACAATTTGAAGTGTTGTAACACCACTATACCAGTTATTTAACAACATTGTTTGTTAGTGACAAACATGGGTCAAATAGAGTGACTGGACAGGATAGGATCAGCGATGCATTGGTAAATTATGTATATTACCATATATTTTCAGTCCTTCTCAACAGCATCACACTTGTATATTGAATTCATTTGTCTCATGATATCCCTTTCACACTTTAAAGTTAGTATGGGATTCCTTTTCTAAAGATAAAAAATATTAAGTGATCTAATATTACAATTAGGGTTAGGGATTCCTTTTCAGATTAGTCCTAATTCTTAAACACGGCATTCCTCTGCATTTTCTGCTGTGGCTATCAAATCCTAGATTAAACACTCTGAACAGTTGTATCTTCCTCAAGATCTAAAACACATCATAAGCTGTTATTCATCGGAATAATAAATAACGGATTCAATTGCCGAAAATGAGAAATCAGCAGGACTTGTAAAGGATGCGAATAGAATAGCTAGAAATTAGGGTTTGGTAAAACGAAATCGGGTGGATCCGAAATTGATGAAAAAATTATAAAATGTAAAAGGGAATGGATTGAAGAGAGAAGTACCTCTTTGGAATGGTGGAGGCATTCGAGGTAATCTTCACGGAGGAGAGTACAGTCTTTGGGTTCTCTGCAGGTAGACATACACTCGCTGAAATCGATCCAGAAATCGTAGCATCGACCTTTGTTTCCTGTGATTCCCCATCCTGACGCCATTTCTCGACCTTCACCTAGTTTCTTCCGCTTTCACCGATCTCGCAAACTTTTGCTTCTGAATTGCAAGTTCGAAACTATCCTGTTCTTCATCTTCTTACAAAGCTAAATTACTAAAATGCCTTCACTATTTTCATTTTGTCTTAATTGCAACTTTGGTCCCCTGTTTTGTATTTTTTTGAGTTTTTATCCCCCATTTTAAAAACCACGATTTTTGTCCTTTTTTAAATTTCAAGATTAATATTAGTCTCATTGTCATTTTAAGTCATGTTTTTAATGAAGTGGCGCTTTGACTGCTGATGTGGCATTTCCATGTCAATTAAAATGGTTTTTTTTAAATTTAATTTAATTTCCATGTCATTAACTTAAATATTATTTCATTTTCACAAATTTAATAAAATAAAATTTAATTGTAAACATTATTTCAAACCCAGTAAACATTATTTCATTTTCACATTAACCTAAACAGTTCATCTTCAAACAACGAACAAGGTGAAGCTCGCTTCAAATCCAAACCTTCATTTTCAAACCGCTTCAGAATCCAATTCATCTTCAAACCACAATTCTATATCATTGTAACCTTCATTTTCATCTTCTTCCCATTGTAACCCAAACCTTCATTTTCATCTTCTTCCCATTGTAACCCAAACCCAGTTCTATATCAAACCGCAACTCGCTTCAAATCAAACTGCAGCTCGCTTCCCGTCGTCTCTGAAATGGCAAACCGAAGTTATGTGTCGAGGTATGTTTCGTAACTCACCTCTGAATACAAAAACCCTAAACATGTAAATGGAGTTTGTGTTCTATCATAGCATATGAATTGTTAATACCAACTCCCGGTTTTATATATGGTTTAATTCAGCTGCTGTTTTTTTTTTTTTTGTAGGCCCTCTGATACGGAAGCTGTCAGATTTAGAGTACACCATAGGGGACATTTAATTCAGAATCCAGTTTTGTTGTATGTTGATGGGTTTGTAAGTGAAATGAATTGGGATTGGGATTGGGATGTGGACTTGATGTCCTACATGCAAATTGAAGATTTGATCAAGAGTGAGGGGTATCATAATATAAAGTGTTTATGGTATTGGAATCCTAATTTTTCATTTTCTCGTGGACTTCGGCCTCTTAACAATGATAATGATGTCTTAAGGTTAATGGAGGATGTTAGAGGATTTAAGGTAGTTGATATTTATGTTGAACACAAAGTTGAAGAAATAAGTATTGAGGATGTTATTTTTGAGGAGGATAATGGTGAAAAAGGCAATGGTGAAGGAGCAAATGATGAAGAGGTTAATGTTGAGGAGGATAATGGTGAAAAAGGCAATGGTGAAGGAGCAAATGATGAAGAGGTTAATGTTGAGGAGGATAATGGTGTTAGCGTTGATGAAGAGGTTAGCGTTGATGACGTAGATGACGAGAGTGAAACAGATCCAGATTATAGCATGGGCAGTGAGGATGACGAGGAAGAGGATGAAGATTTGGAAGATGAAATTGATGTGATGAATTTAGGCGTTGATGCTAGTATAAATTGGAAGATCGTTTTACCTAATGCAGAAAAACCTTCAAAGTTTGATGATAATTCCGATAGTGGTAGTGATTCAGATGTGTTTCAAACTCCACCCGGTAGTGATGCTGAAGGTGATACGACAAAGTTTCCAATCTTTAGGGAACCCATACAACTTGAAGTATGGATGCTGTTCAAGGATAAATAACAAATCAAAGATGCCATAAAGGAGTATGCTATGGAGAACAAGAAGAATCTTGTATTTAAGAAAAATGACAAGAAGAAAATGGTTGTCAAGTGTGTAGATGGTTGTCCATTTCATATTAGGTTTAGCATGAGGACTACCAATCAATATTGGCAACTTGTTAGCTTGACTGATCGTCATGGCTGTCATAGGACAGCCAAAAATAGACAAGCAAAAACGGATTGGTTGGGTCGCCAATTTGTGTACACCATAAGACACACTCCTGAAATAAAAACCAAAGGGCTGATTGTAGAAGCTATTAAGAAGTGGGGGTGAAGTTGTCAAAGGATCAAGCTTACAGAGCCAAGAAAAAAGGCAATGGAATTAATTCAAGGTGCTGGTCGTGAACAATTCACACACCTTAGAAGCTATGGTGAGGAGTTGTTAATGTTAAATCCAAACTCCACTGTTAAAATTAAGTGTGCTAATTCAGATGGTGGTCCTGTCTTTGAAAGAATATATGTATGCTTAGAAGCTTTTAAGGCAGCGTTTGCAACGACGTGTAGGCCTCTAATAGAACTGGATGCTTGTTTTCTTAAAGGGGACTTTGGAGGTCAGTTAATAGGTGTTGTTGGTATGGATGGAAATAACAAGATTTATCCAATCGCTTATGCCACAGTGGAAGCTGAAACGAAAGACTCGTGGAAATGGTTCCTTAATTTGTTATTAGAAGACTTACAATCTATACAAGACAACAAATATGGATTTATATCAGATCAACAGAAGGTTAATTATAACTGTTATATACAATGCTAAGACTGTTAATTATACAATGCTGATTATACAATGCTGTACAAAATTCTGTTAATGCTATATAACTGTTAATTATACAATGCTGATTACAAAATTCTATTAATGTCTATGTTAACAATGCTGATTACAAAATTCTGTTAATGTTAATGTTAACAATGTTGTACAAAATTCTGTTAATGTTAATGTTAATGTTACAATGCTGATACAATTCTGTTATGGTACTGAATGCTGATACAAAATGACATTAAAATGAGTACTGAAAAATGAGTACTGAATGCTGATACAATTCTGCTATGTTAATGTTAATGTTACAATGCTGATATAAATGTGTCTATTTTATATATTGAGTATTGAATATTCATACTATAAACAAATCAATAATATTTAGACAAATCAATGCTGGTGTGGTACTTATATGCTGCTGCTGTTAATTTGATATATGTTGCTGCTGTTATAACTTGATATATGCTGCTGTTATAACTTGATATAATTTGATATATGTTAACAATGTTGATGCTGTTATAACTTGCTATAATTTGATATATGCTACTGTTGTTATAACTTTTATATACTGATATATGCTGTTATTTCAGGGATTGGTACCTGATATTCTTGAGACAAGCCAACATGTTGAACACAGACTATGTGTTAAACACTTGTATGGCAATTGGAGAAAGAAATATTCGGGGATATTTATGAAGGAGGCTTTATGGCGGGCATCTAGAGCCACAACAATTCCTGCATGGGAAAGAGCAATGAATCAGATGAAAGAGCTCAATGTCAATGCTTGGAAAGACATGATGGATGTCCCGGCTGCATGTTGGACTCGGTCTCATTTCAAAACAGACACACAATGTGATTTGCAAGTCAACAATATGTGTGAGGCTTTTAATCGTGCAATCTTGGAGTATAGAGATAAGCCGATCATTTCACTACTTGAAGGAATCAAACATTACATAACAGTGAGAATATCTGCTCAAAAGGAGAAATTAAGTAGGTACACAGGTGTTACAAGTCCTAGCATTCAAAAAGTCTTGGAAAAAACAAAGAGGGCAGCAAAAGGATGGATTGCAACATGGCATCCAGATGATGACTTTGCAATATTCGGAGTTTCAAACGGTGTTGAGACATATGTTGTGAACTTGCTTCAACAAAAATGTGGTTGTAGGAAGTGGGATTTAAGTGGAATACCATGTTGTCATGCTATTGCATGCATATGGTATAACAAGAAGGAGCCCGAAGATTACGTTTCATCATTCTATAGGTATCGCCTACTCGTATATTATGTTCATTTACATTCATCTTTTTTGTACGTTAACTAAAATCACTGTGTCATATTTTCTAGGAAATCTACTGTTTTGGCTACTTATAGCCATATCATCATGCCAACCAATGGCCCACAACTATGGCCTGTTAATGTTGCTAACCCAATTAGCCCTCCAGTCATGCGAAGATCTATTGGTCGTCCTAAGAAGAATCGTAACAAGGCAAATGATGAACCGAGGATAAGAAATACACTGCCTAGAACTCTTCAAACTGTCAAGTGCAACAAATGTGGGAGTTTTGGCCATAACAAACGAACGTGTAAAGGGAAGCGAGCTACGGAGAGAGTGATTCCTAAAGGTGGCAACAAAAAATCTAAAAAAAATGGTGACAAGTCGGGCAAGGAAGCGGGAGAAACTGTTGTAGTTGAAGGGTCGCAAGCACCGCCACCAACCCAAGAATAGTTCTATGTTTTGCTTTACTTTTTGTGATGTTGCTATAGCATATGATTTGATTTACTTTTTGTTAAAATATGTTGTCTTTAATGTTGTCGTCAATGTAATGATACATCAGTCTTGAACTTCTGTTACAAGAGCCAAAACAAAACTTCTATTAATTTTTTATAACAGATAGCTTATGAAGTATTCTTTACTACTGTGTCAAATTCTTCTCTAAATGTGACTAGTACTTCAAAGCATAAATTCTAACTATAGCTGTAGTTCATAACTAATTACATCAAATGACCTTTTCAAAACAAACCAAAATATTCTGCATTGCTTCCTCAATGTGCTCCACGTCTAATTTCAAATGACGAGATTGGATCACGCCAGCTGCTACTAAACCATCCAGCACCATTCCCTGTATAAATTATAACACAACCCAAACAAAGTTGCCATCAGAAAAATCCTAATAAATTGTAACAAGACTTCATTTCTAAAAAAGTATATGTTAGCTTCTCAAGACTTCATTTGAAAGACTAATTTAATTGGATTGGTTATATGCATTAAGAGTATATATCAGTAGTTTTTGTATTGTATTAATCATGTATCTGCTTTATTAAATTCTGTAGTTATTTGTATCAGTTAGCTTCTAAAGCAGAAGAAAACGATTCCTTTGATGCACATGAATTTCGCTAGAGGCTTGTGTGGTTCCAGTTCTTTAGCAAACAGATGGTAAAAGATCACTAGAGAATACAAGGCCAATGAAACATAAATATTGAGAATGATGGTGAAGATCCAGCTCAACCAATTCGGATAGATCCCAAGTAGCTGAAATGTAATCATTAAAATAGAACACACCGGACGAGTAAAAATAAACTGCCATGTCCAATATTTCAGAAGCTTCAGATTATGATGGTTTAGCCGAACCGAATGAGGCTGCAAAAATACATTACAGCTGCAGTCATGACTAATTACATCAAATGACCTTTTCAAAACAAATTAAATGAACCAATACATTACAACTGCAATTCATAACAATTTTCATGCTAACTAATCAATACATTCAAGTTGCGTTACGCTGCTGCAACTGCTTTCCATTTGCAACCATCAATCAATCCAACTCAGTGGAATAAACATCAAAGTAATAAACTGCGGAAAATTTGTAATAAACTGCAGAAAATTTGTAATAAACATCATTTGAAGACAATCAAAGTAACTACAACATAACTCTTCATTAACACAGACAATCATAACTCTTCATTTGAAATTAGTTCATTTGGAAACTACATAAACATAAAAGTAACTACAACACTTGACATTACATCATTTGAGTACATGTGTTGCAACTAATGAAAACACAATTAAAAAGACAAACATCAAACATAATCCCACAAAATAATACATAAACCTAATTTTCATCTTCAACAAATCTTCATTTTTCTTGATGTCCTTAATCACATCCATGAGCTCTTCATTCTTGTCTTTCAAAGATCTTATCACATCTTTAGCACGACTACTCATGTCTTCATCAACCCACTGAAAGTAATTACATCCTTTTTTTCTCATCACCTTAAAATTACCACACTCATGAAATCTTCTTCCGGGATTATCGTATGTCCATGACGTCATCAACGGTGACTCAAGCTCACACCAACGTCTATTACCTCTTCTTCTTATACCAGACCCGGACTGGTTTGTTGAGGAAAAAGATAAATTTGTTTCGGACATGTCGGAAGATGAACTGCGGTTTGAAGATGAAATTGATTCTGAAGCGGTTTGAAGATGAAGGTTTGGATTTGAAGCGAGCTTCACCCTGAACGATTTGAAGATGAAATAATGTTTACTGGGTTTGAAATAATGTTTACAATTAAATTTTATTTTATTAAATTTGTGAAAATGAAATAATATTTAAGTTAATGACATGGAAATTAAATTAAATTTAAAAAAACCATTTTAATTGACATGGACATGCCACATCAGCATTCAAAGCGCCACCTCATTAAAAACATGACTTAAAATGACAAGGGGACTAATATTAATCTTGAAACTTAAAAAAGGGACCAAAATCGTAGTTTTTAAAATAGAGGGATCAAAACTCAAAAAAACACAAAATAGGGGGATCAAAGTTGCAATTAAGCCTTTCATTTTTGTCAACAAACATTTTTTTTCTTAATTCTAAATTGCAATATTGGTTCCATTTTTGCCCATAAATAGAATTCACTTTCTTTTTTTAATGTGTAATTTTAAAATTGGATTCAATAATAAAACTAATTTGATTTATCATAATATTTAATGTGATGTGGATTAATACTATTGATGCCGCATCACATTTTTATAATTTAATAATTTAGTAATTATATTTATGTATTTTATTAACAATTAATAATATATTGTTATTATACTAGTAAGTCAAATGAGAGAAATGAAACACATTCATAACTTTTGTTTTTTAAATGAGCATTAGTCATTAATCAACACCAATCAATAAATAGTCTAATAGTATTGAGTAATTATTCTCTATTAGGATTTCTCCATGAACTTTCCTTCGCTGGGGTTTGCACCTGCAAACCATGATTCACAAGCGCAAAAAGATGATCAACGTGAGAGAAGTATAAAGAAAGTTAAAGATCGAGGTGATGTGGGCTTTTTATCCCCTCTAGATGAAGAGAAACTCACGCGAACGTACAAGATTCTCAGCTCCAACACTTTTGTTTCTTACAAAAACATGGTAATTGGTGAATCCATGGATAAGATGTAAAAAGATAAAGAGGAAGCACGAGGCGAGTTTAGGTTTACAAGCGGTGGAAAGAATATTTGGTGACTATGAATGCCCATAATTCATTTTGTCAAAGGAAGAAGAACGCAAAATTGCGAAACCATGGAAGAAAGGTGTAATTATGAAAATGTTAGGAAAAAGAATCAATTACAAGGTATTAGAGACAAGACTAAACCATTTGGGGCAAAAAGATGAGTCTTAAACATCGTTACCTAGGCAAAAATACTATCTTGTTACTTTCACAGGTGAAGAAAACCATAGAATATCTCTCTTAGGAGGTCATTTGCTCATTTACAATCATTATCTCACTGTGAGGGAATGAAGTTCCAACTTCTTCCCAAATACTTATGCAATTGATCAACTTGTAGTGTGGGTGAGAATCCTTGGATTTCCCATCGAATACTATGGTCATTGTGTTCTTTCTTTCATAAGGAACCCCATTAGTAAGACGGTTAAGGTGGACAAAACCACTCTCTCTAGAGAACGAGGGAAATATGCTCGCTTGTTTGTCTAGGTTAACTTGAACATGCCCTTTCTAGCCATGTTTTCCATCTAAGGGAAACACTATAAAGTGGAGTACGAAGGCATCCACCTTATATGTCTTGCTTATGGAAGATTCGAGCATGAAACAACAGGGTGTGTAGATAAAAGTCAGTCTAACATGGAGATTGGCAACAAGGAAACTCGGGGTGAACATGATAAAGGGAAGAAGAAGAATGTATTGCATAAGGAAAACATGGGATCATGGACAATGGTTCAAAAACCTAAGACGTTTAGGAAATATAAAATTATGCAGGATCAGGGAGTATACCAAGCTAATCAAGGTGAACATGGGAAAGGACGCAATGTGAATAGTAGTGTGTCGCAATTAAGTTTCAAGCCTTTCCATGATGAAGAAACCCAGGAAAAACTAACGAGTTAGCTGAGAATAGTGATAAAAATCATAAAGTTTTACATAGTAAAGAACAAATGGAGTACAACTGAAATAATGCTTTGAAAGGAACATAAGAAAGTGAACACGTGGAAGGAGTAGAACGAAAAAAGAAAGTCAACAAAAAGGTTAACATGCAAAGTAGGCTAGAAATAGCATCAAAAGGCATCACTAAGGACAAACATAAGGGGGGACGACAAGCGGAGAGGTGAGGAAAATTATAGACCAATTGTTGAAGGATATAGAACATGGAACTGGGTTAGAGGGTTAAATCCTAAAATCAGGCTGATCTTTGGGGACTTTAAATCTGGAGATCACCACACTTGGCCTAACCATAAGAAAGGCTACAATCCTAAAATCTTTGACCCAGAAGGCACAAAGGCCCAAGTTATAGTCAATAGGGTTGAATTAGGAACCATGGATCCTACCACCGTTGTTGAGGAACAATTGGGTGTCAAACGCATTGAGGATGACATTGTGAGTACGCTGCATCCAAGTGAAAGTGGGGATAATGACGATGGAGGGGAAGGTGTTATGGTGTTGGTGGATGAAACACCAAGGAAATGGCATGAAAATGTAAATGCATCCTAATTTCTCCATGATTTGGGATCAAAGTAAAATCTTCATCTAGAATTGTAGAGGTACGGGAAATAAGGCTTTTCTAAGGGCTTGTAAAAACTATATCATAATGAATTCTTATGATATTTTCATTATTTTAGAAACCATAGTGGATTCGGTGAAATTGGGGGAAAACTTTGTTGTTATGGGTTTTGATGGTGTAGCGGTGTAAAATTGAGATTAAGTTATTGTTTAACTTAACTCGTAAAGCAAAAGTCGACATCGCTCTTTATTGTTTCCAACAGAATGGGAAAAGAATGAATAAAACTCGCAGAAGTTTTAAAACAAAACTAACAAAACAAAGAGATAAGGGTATGGGGGATGGTTTTGCGAATGGAAGGTGTTAACACCCCTCATATCTATAGTACTCTATAGGAACCTCTTGAAAATTTGTGTTTGGCTTAAAAAGGGTGTTGTTTGTAAAAAAATTGGGGAGATGAGAAAAAGAAATGTTTTTTTTAAAGATTTTTGTTGGATAAGACTTCCTGAGCCTCGTGCCTACGTACCAACAAAGTGCAATGGAGGATCAAAACCTCGTAGTTCATGCTACAAATCAAAAGTGTTTATTTTAGTTGATTTTAAATGAATAGACATTTCGTCATATTCGAGTGAAAAACTCAACTTACTACCCACAATTAATGAGGAATGAGCATTTGTATCATCTTGAGATGGATAATTTTTGCTTGGATTGAAATCAAC